CATATAGGCTCTTCATCATTGCTGCGGAGAACTTACCTTTTGCCTTTCGAAGCATCTCTCCTCTTCCTCTTGCCCACTGAGGACACGCCAAGACCACATGTGTGACATTTTGAGACGGATATCCACACTGGCATTTTGGATTGATCACTCCTGGGTCCATCCTTCGACATTGATAAGAGCTGAGAGCATTGTGCTAACTTCCTATCTGAACTGCAATACTTCCTTGGTTTTAAATTGTGTTGTTTCTAGTTATTTAGCTATGATAATTCAACCTTATAAATACAGCAAAAACAAAGCATGAATCAAAGACAGATGAGAATAAATATTCCAAAAACCCTCTCCCAATCATTTGTACTTTAGTACATCTATTCCACTCCAACTCCCATTATTTCTATGCCTGATGTATCTCCTGTGTATATTGATACATACTTGAAAGGGTTTCAAAATTTTAGCTCGGCTTGCCTTCCTCTTTTAGTTCTTCAAATTGTTGGTTATATCCTTAGTTATCAGCAAAGGCTAGTTCCCGTTCTTTCCCTAATTTGGGTGGCAGAAAGCTGAAGGGTCATTTTTCCCTTACTGTTGATCTATGTTTTCATTAGCATCCTTAATTTATAGGCAAAATACATTCATGTCTTACGTAATCTTAGACTAAGAAAGTTTTTTTTTAATAAATTTTATTGTCCTATCTGAGTCTATGACTATGTAGGACATGCAGGTCCTCTCTGCATACAGGCCAAGGATACCTATACCAGTAGTATATCCCCTCCTTTGCCTCCCATACAGCTCCCCTCAAACAGTACCACCCCTCACAAGTCCTCATTCGATCATACACTAAGAGGAGCCCTTTGCCCTTCATTATCTCCCCTCTCCAACCAACGAAACGATGGCCATTTGCGGGTGTATGGCAGCCGGGAAAATTCGCAAAAACCACTGGGTGCGGGGCTCTTCTAATACCGACATCAGGACTAAATCCGAAGACATATTGCCCCATCTGAAGCGTTCGAAGAGGCCGGCCAGCTGGGCGCTGCAGACTTGTGGGTACCTCAGGAAATTCACGCTCTGCCTTTCTAGCCTCCTTCCAACTCCTTCCCGAAGGTCGTGCTGAAATGTCAGAAAAGTCTTGACAGATCGTGATTGCTGTATAGTAGCTTAGCCTAACTTCTTTTGTGCCGTCCAGAGCTCTAGGGAGTGCCGTTGACTCATCGACAAAGAAGCCCTCCTGGCTAATTGGCAAAAATCTTGGTTTTAGCGCCCACACACGTTTCGAAGTTGAAAACCCCTTGAGAATGTTAGTCCTAGCATGATCTTCAGAGACCTGTTCCCCCTCTCGCTCCACATCTCAGCCGCCAGTTCCCCCTCAAGTTGTTTATCCCATTAGAGTAACAGTCCCCCAATAAGCCAGGAACCAGGCTTTATATTTTTCGACTTGGTTCCCTTGCAGGTATAAATAGCGTTGTAAATATATACTGAGAGGTGGCTGGAAATTAATGGGGCAAACTCCTGTTTGCAATTGGAGCAACTTCTTTATTGGTCGTTGAGGCGGGATGATGCGTGGTTAGAAAGAGGTTGAGGACTCAGAAGATGATGGTGAGTGCTGCATGATTGAGAAGTCTTCAAATGGAGATATGCATGTGTTTGCTCTCGACTTCGATTCGGATGCGATTCTTCTTGTCTATCCCAGATATGCAGAGCATACTGAGTACTGCTTAGCTATGAAGCTGTGTAGATAGCTTAACAGTCCTTTATAGTCATATTCTTAGTATGGACTTTAACTCAATTCTATTGAAGCTCTCACTGCAGAGCTAAGATTGAAAACCCCCTCTCTCACATCGATGGGGATTTCCAGTCGCTTTCGCGGTCTATATCGTCTTCATCTCTCAGCACAACTCCTTGGCAATATTATACTGAAGCTAGCTTTTATCAGATCAGATAGTAGGGTCGAAGTCCTTCTCATCACCAACCCCTGGTCATGGAGGAAGTGCCATCCGATGAGTTTCCGAGGCGTATTCAGCACCTGATACAATAGTTGTGAATTAGAGCAAGAGGTTCTCTCTTGTTACAAGTAAAGGAAACATAGAAGGATATTCGCGCTGTTGAATGATGTTACTAGATACCTTTCAGCCGCTGAGTAGATATAGTATTTCGGGTTGAGGGGACATCCGAATTAGGTCTCGGCATGATGTAAGGCTCCATGGCTGAATAGCCAGCCTCCTGTACTCTTCTCAAAGGTTGAACTTCTTCGTCGATAAGAAAAAATGAAAATCTTCACCCAACTTACTTCTTTATCTATTTAGATACCAAGACGCGGTCTATTCGACGTGCAGCTGACGCGGCTCCGATATTCATATCTCGCATGGCTGGAACCACAGGTCTTTTGAGAAATTGTCCCATTATTTTGAGCTGATGGTGCAGTAGAAGAGAAGGCGGAATTCTACGAATAAATTCTATTACATGGCTTCCTATCACAGGCAGTATGCTAGAGAGCTTTTTGCATAACATAGGGGAATACGAGCAATGCACAAGGTAAAGCCTGAATGAGAGAGGAGCCTAGTATGCTCAAGAGTCTTTGAAACAAGTAGCAAAGTAAATCTCAATTAAGAGACTAGGTTGGTGGACGGATGACACAAAATTCGAGATTCTATGGTCGTACTCTAGCTATCTACATGTACATCATATTAACTATATGTCGGTAAAAGGATCATATTTTGGCAGTATGAATTGTTCAATATGGTTGCGTTATTCAGGTGGTCGTTAGGACACTGACAGGGATCTGACTTAGCTCATTAGCGAGGCGCTTGGAGTAGAGGAAGAAAGGGCAGAGGGAGAGGAAAAGGAGAGACAACGTTTGATGTATATCGAGATACCAGTTAATTGACATTATTCACCGACTTCGTGACGGCACCCAAATTGTATTAGTTCGTGTTTTACCAACACTATAACAAATAACCCAATAGATGTATTGCATCTTTCTTTTGCCGATGTTAATCTTCTTATTAAATCTTCGAAATTATGAGGATTAGCAGGTTCTTTCCGCCTATAGGCCGGCGGTATATGTATCTCCTTCACGAGTTCTTTACAGCGATTATATTCAAAGGATATGTCTATTGTCTTATTGAGTCTAAGGCTATATAATGACACGTAAGTCCATTCTGCCAGTAGGCTGGGGGTATCTATGCCATGGGCCATGTACTACCCCCAACACTCATTCAAAGCTTCCTACTGTAATACTTCCATAGTCGTTTGTGTACACACTTGGAGGAGCCGTTACCCAGTCATCATCTTCCCCCTCCCCCATCCTCCCTCCAGCCGATGATACGATCACCATTTGCAGGTATGGAGTTGCAGGGAAACCCCTCAAAGACTATCGGCTGCCGAGCTCTCATACCAATATCAGGGCTAAATCCGAAGATGTAGCTGCCTTTTTGAAACATTTTAAGAGGCCGACTAGCCAGCCGGGCGCAGAAGACCTACATTTATCAAAGATCATCTCTCAACCTGCTTAGTCTCCCCCTTACTCCTTCCCTGGTTGTGTAGCAGCACAAATTGAAAGTAGTTGAAGGATGCCAGGTAAGTCTTGGTCAAGAGTGACTGCTATGAAATAACTTAGACTAGCATTCAAAAGTTGTTAGGGATATGGGAGCTTCGAGCAGTTCGTATAGTGTGGGTGCCCTCCTGACTAGTAGATACGAAGGCCCGAGTTTGAAAGACGGTACTTTCAACCAGCCAAAACCTGAACTCATTAAGAACTGAATGGTCATTTAATTCGCTTTCGTAGGCCTTCGTTTGCGTGTAGTGAGTGGCATAGATTTGGATATGGTGAGGACTTTTCTGAACGCTGATGTATCGTTTGGTACCGCACCATGTCTCCTCTTTCCCGCAATCATTGTCGTCGTGTGCGACATGGAAAGTGGTTTTTTGAGGATTAGGCAAATGACCCAGCTCAAATTTGAAAAAATGTGATTTAATCTCGGCTCTATAAACACTACCGTGAGCGCTGGAAGCTCATAGGGTAGGCCGCTAACAGTTATTCATTTTTCGTCCCCCCATTATAAATTAGATAATCACTAATCTCTGTTCTCAACTCCACTCATATCTTATCGTCGCCTAGTCGAAACCACGAGAAGTCCACATTAAATCATTCTAATCATCATATTAACTAGAATACATATACCTGTTCAATTTGGGAAACAAGGTCATTTTTTAGAGAATTATTACTCGATTAGATACTCGCAATTCCCCAGGATGAGATAAAGAGGGTATGATTGAATAGTCAGAGGTATGGGAACCTGCCTGTAGTAGGTACTGATGGAAGCCTGATATTACTAACTAGAAGTTTTTAATTTGTCTTGAAATTAGCGGATGAAATATAAAGCAAAGACTAATCCAAGATTTAGATAAATATTCAGTGTGTACGTATGATACTGTGTACCATGTGTAGAGAAATGCCGGCATATGAAGCGATTTTACAATAGACTTGAGTAAAGAAATATGGCACGCGCTTGTTTCATCTCTCTGAAAATTAACATACCCAACGTCCTCAGCTTCAAATCACCAAAAAAATGAAAAGACAGTAGAGCATCGATAAACTTATTTTATAGTTTAAAGCTAATCTACCCACTACAAACAAATTTCAGTATACCTATACGCCATAATACCTTTTCCCATCAGATGATCCGTTGAACTAAAGCACTGACGTAGCTGTTTCCCACAGTTTGCTTATTTAGCGCAATTGTACTTTACTCGTTAAATACTTCTATCAAAGTATTCCAGGAACCCACCGGATCCCTTAACTAGGATGTCATTATCCAAAAGACTGTCGCTGTAGATTTTGCTACTGAATCGTGTCAACACGTATGAGTAACATGGATTTTAGGCAAAAATTTTTGAGAAGCCCTGGTGGCATCTCGTTTGTCGTTATGATTAAAATATTTTTAAGACTCGAAGGACCAGGCGCTAAGATCCGACGGAGGTAAACAAGAGAAAAAGAACGGAAATGAAGTTTAGCTCAAGGCGGGATTTCTCGCACAAAAGTCAAAGTTGCCCTGCTGGTAATTATTTCCCCAATATGGAGGAAAAGGAACCTCCTTACCGATGATCCCTTGTACCCCAAATGTGGTTATGAAGACCATTAATTCAGTACCTCCGCTGATAGCTGCAGCCAAGAGATAATTATACTTGACAAACCACTCAGGATATCGCTTGCGTACATAAAATTGTACAATAAAGCCAATTGCAAAAAACATCGGTACAGAGGAGTTGATACCAATAGCGAGGAATCCCATGAACCAAAAGATGACTGGTGTGACTATTTTGTCAAATCCTAAGCTAGGAAAACGACGATGAAGAAAATAAAAGGGAAGTGGTGCAATGAATCCGATGGGCAGCGCGAAAATGACGAATTGATAGGCACGTCCGACACCAAATAAATACTTTGGTAAAGCTCCAAATGCAATAGCCTAGTTTTTTGTCAGGACTAGAAAGGATAAGTTGAAAGAGATAATCTTACATTACTATTGAAAGATTGGATTGCCTGACCCGACCATATATTTGTTCCTTGAGTTGACAAGAGTATCTCGCGTTGATTGGTAGTAATAGTGGACATTAGTATATAGTTTATTATGGCACCAAATATAGTTCCTAATATTTGTACTGCAAAAGTGCACTTTGGGCTGAGTTTGCTGTACTGCCCGAACTTAAGACTCATAACCAAGTTCAAAGCTTGGATTTGGCTGTTAGCCCCGAATAAGACAAAATACATATTTGCAACTGGCCTCCCCGTTAAGAGAACTCCACCAATCATTTGCATAGTACTAGTGATGGGAACGTGAAATCCTAGGCGGCCAGACAGGATACCAAATGAAAGGGTACATAGAAATCCAAGAAAAACTGCAATTAAGAGAGCCCACCATGGAAGTGTGGATTCCAATGTATATGAACAAAACATAGCAAGGGAGATGGAGAGAATCAAGACGCACAGATACCATGTCGCTGGTACTTCTGCATATGCCAACATTTGGCGATAATGAGGATCAAGTTTAGTTGAATCAATTTCGCAGCGCTGTTTAGGCTGATTAGACTTTCCCTTTTTAAAGAGTTGGCTGGGAATAAGGTTAGATAATTTCCAGTGCTTAAGTCCATCAAAAATCATCCTAAGATCTTTTCGATTCCATAGAAATACATGTAGAACTGTAGCGCCCATTCCAAGATTCGTTGTTAGTAGATGTGAAGCTAATGAGGCAGAAAAAAATGGCACACCACTGTCATCTATTGCCGTAATATTTAGCTTTCGGTCGGTATCTAGAATAGCCGTCTGGTTGTATATTTCAAAGTGTGAAGAGTTGGATTCTCGTGAGAACAGTTGCTGTGCTAGAAATGGAAAACTCAGGGCGTTCCAAACATTTCCATAATATAAACCAATTAAAAGGCCTACACCCAGTATATAGCCCATAAAGCTGTTGACAAGCGTAATAAGTGGCACAAAAAGGGGAGCTGAGCTGATATATAGCCAGTCAAAAGAAACACTAAAGAGTCCGAGACCTTCGTTCCCATTAGAGCCACCAAATATATTGGTGAATACTAAGCTCTTTTGGTTTGCGAGGCAGAAGACACTAACTCCCGTCAGAACGGGCATAATGTATTGCGGAAATATCTCCCAGACTGTAACGATGACCAAAATAATCCAGAAAAACTTAAATCTCTTCTTCATCTCTCCCCGATCTCGATGTAGAGTTTCGATGAGTGAGCAGATAGGAAGAATTTGAGGCCAAATCATGGCTGTTGGATAAACTAAAGCTTGTCGTAGTAAGCCTGCCATACCATAGCCTAAGAGTTGAGATGAGAGCAGCAACAATATGGCTATGAGTGAACTTGGCACGACATTGTAGTAAAGTTTTTGTGCCGCCAAGACTTCCGTGGCATATGCAGCACCTGAGGCTGAATGAGACATAATTATGATCGCTATGTGCTCTTTTGAATTAAAGCTGTGTGGGTTTATCCATCTACCAATAAGGCCTTTTCTTGGGAGAAACGTTGCCATAGCGTTCCCTATAAAGTAGCTGATGATTGACATGAATATTACTGATACTGAAACTGATCTATCATCCAGTCATTTCTTGCTATTTAGATGGATGCAACTTTTGAGACTTACTGTGGCTTGAACATGAATATTGTCGCTAGAATGGATCCAAAAGATGAAAGTCCAATACCTATTCACCACCAAATTAGTTGTCAGGTCGTTGTGATGGTGCACAGAAATCAGTCGAATTACACATACCAATCAAGAACATCCTCAAAGTCCATGGATTTAAGGATGGGTCATCATCAGTTTTCAAGGCTCTGAGTACCATATCTTGTGCATTTCTGCTGACAGTTGCCGCCGCTGAATTTTCAGACACTTTTCTTGAGCACTCGACATCATGGTTTTTTTCGGTAATGAAGATGTTGGTATCATCTGTTTTATATATACCTGTGCCCGTGCAAGTCGGACTTATCTCTTCCGAATCGGCAGAAGCCGATTTTTCTCGGTCGATGCCGTTTTCAGACATTTGATTCAATAATAGAACTGATCTTACAAAAAAATGAGATACTGCTTAGCCGAATTTGGTGAGCTGTGCTAACGATGGGAAAGTCTCGAATAAAGTTGATAGTGATGTGCGGCTCAATGGTGTATTTCGACACGGGTGTAGATAGGACTTCATGGAATAGTTATTCTGTGCTCTCTGTGACTAGTGTGAAGTTTTTGAATGAATTTATAATAAGGGGATCCGGTTTCCGCATGCGAAGGTTCCGGCTTATAATGCCCGACTCTTGGCTATCCGGGTGGCTGAGATAATGTAGATGCCATGAAGAACTTATCTGATATGAGCTGCTGATCATCTACACATGGGTAACTTCTTTGTAAAGTAGTTATGATTTGTTACGTGACTTGTCGGTAGTTTGTAGAGGACGGTGAATAGAGATGGAAGGACAGGCTGACCATGATGAACCAGCAAAGCAAGGGCGTGGGAAGAAGAAAATTGGCCGATTACGGCTTTTGCATAGCGCTGATTGATAAACACCATCTTTTTTACATCAGTTTGGCCTTAACCAGGTGGTAATCACAAGCTACCAGTCCTGTTTTCAGCGGTGATCAAAGTCTTAGCCTCTTCGTCTCACAAATACCCTCTCTTCTCTGTGTGTATTCCAGTGCAGGCAATAGCTTGACCGCCTAGCCGGTTGCCGGCCCCTGTCACAGAGACCAGTCAGTGAAACAGACTGCCATATTCTTTTGGCTGGCGCAGTTGACTCCGGATTCTCTTAGTAGGTTGTGGGACATCCCATGTGTTTGCATTACCGACAATCCTAGCACTGTTAACCAAAAGTTCAGGGATAGAATTTTCTAAATCAGAAACCATCCAGCCAACGAATGAATGCAAAAGAGGATTCGACTGCCAGTGAAGGCAACTGTGTGTCGTTCAGATCAAACTTGAAGAAACGCTCTCAGATGCCGAGATTGAGGAATCAGCGTGGGCCGTGCTCCCGGGATAAGCAGATAACCCATGTTCGCAACCTTTTTTTCTGAGATTTGGTAGGTAGGCTCAAAACCAATAACGTGCGTCTGCGCTCAGTAGAAATTTTGGTAATTCTCTGGTGAGCTGTCGGTAACGTCTGATGGTAACAGGTATACTTCCGAGCTATCCCGGCATGGTACCCAAGCTCCTCTTACCCTGGAGTCGGGCCATCCCTTACTTTGGGGTCATACTCACGTGCCACCCCTGACAGCTTGTGAGATATTCGACATCTATTTTTTCTAATGCATCAAATATCTAATATAACGAGCGTAGCTGAAGGACCTTGATTAGAGCCTGCTATTCTTATGTTATTTCTGACTACCAAATTAATCTGCATTTATCCTGATTGATGTAGGATATTGGTCTAAGGCTGTGATAGCATCAACTTCCCAGTCCTACGAAAAAGATGAACGAGTCATTCAACTGAATTTGCACTTTACCTTGATCTTCTCGATCATAAAGCCACAGCAGAAATGGCAACAGTTGATAAGGTGTGTGCACCCAAACTAATGTACCAACCTCGCATCCTGGAGCCATTTGCCCGCCTAGACCAATCGTAAGTTGTATCCCTGTACCTTTTCTGACTGGGTAGTCTCAGGAAAGACGAACTTGCTTCGATTGCGGTATGTAAATGATCCAGGTATCCAGGGGATCCATGAAAAAGAGAAGTGTTTAAAAAGTCAAATTGTCTAGAACCAGCAACCGACCAATTATATCTTTCCAAGATTATCATGGCCCTGCATTGTAGTGAAGTCAAGGAGTTCAACAGATTGCCGATATTCCCATCCCCCTTGTGATTATAGCTGATGGATCTTCCTCACGCCGAGGAATGATAGAACAGGAATGCCCGATCAGGCACGTGTTGTGCAGGTTTCATTTTGGTGACGAAGGTTGATCACTCTCTCAAAACACATACATAATATCCGAGGGATAACCGCAATTGCTACCGGTTAACGAGTCATTGAATGTTCCTTGTTCTACCTGTAACCGTTTCCACGCTAGACGTGCTACGTTCCCTCCTCATCCGAGTGCTTTTTAGGGTTATGCACTGAACCGGAACCTCTTTAGCCGGGTGATTCGTGTGAAGTGCTAATAGATAGAAGCTCTGTAAAGTGGCTGGAGCACACGGTGAGCAGCTGAGTTCTATCGGCGGCAAGACAGTGATGCTGTGAAAATTATAATTAGATGAGTTAGTAAAGCGTTGATTCAATACTCGAACTAGCACGGGATTGGTATCGTTACTACAATTACCACAACGACAGGATTATGTGTAGAAAGAACCTTTACCGTTAAGTTTCGGAAGAGCGGGAGATGTGGTGGCGTCGGAGTAATTTCGTGCGGAGCCATCCCTTAAGGAAAGGTCAGGTGACATATCAGAATGACAAATGGCTAGCCTGGATGTGGGATCAACAAGATCCTCGCAATGTAGCACAAAACATCCGGGGCAGCCAAATTGACATTGCGCGCAGAAAGTCACAGCTTCATGGAGATAACAAGCATGCTGTAAACCTTCGATAGGGCTTCGTGTGAATGTCACGTTCATCGTCAAAATGTGAGAGCGAACACAATAATGAAAAATGGATTGCTTTGTGCTACGAGGCAATCATAGCATTATAATATCAAAACCTATCCCTAATCACGCTCCTGAGCACCATCAACAGTCTGATAGGTCTGCACGCAGATCTTACCTTTGCTTTTGAACTGGATCCAAACTTATGCAAGCATAAGGCAGCTTACACAAACAAATAAAACAAGTTCCGGGACAGCCAATGTTCCAGAATTGTCAGAGCCTTCTAGCAGGGTGATTAGGAAAAAATTGATAAGAATACCCTCTCATTCCGAAGTGATCTACAGCATCTGAACTAATATGCTTTACACGATACTTTAAGGCACCTGTGATATATTTCAAGCTACTCGATCTAGGTCCGAGGACTATCTAGGAATCCTGAATTTGTTGAAAGTATGAAATTCAGCCAAACTTAGATTCTGCGTCACTGCCGCAATTTAGATGAGCTCGGTGACATGATACCCACATCTTACGCCAATAATAGAGACAGATAATCCCTAGACATATGGAGCTTATTTGCATCTCAGCGGCTTTACCGCCGTGAAACAGACCATTTCGGAGGTTAATAACCTAACATCTGCTGACATTGTAGCCTACTAATTTCAGGCTCTCACCGTAAGGTTGTCAGGGCCGATATTGAGTCCTGTACAAGCCAGGCGACCCTGGATTGTCGATGATTCCACCACACTATTCACTTTCATATGCTGTACAAAGGATTTAGGCTTCATTTAATTGTAGCGCACAATTATTGAGACTTTTCCGTGATATTAAAGCGACCTCGCCATCGCCCTTTCCCTATGCAAGAATGCCAGAATGTAAAAGGATGGGGAGCCAGAAAGTACATCCTTTAGATAATCACAAGTCTATATCGCCCAGCAAGAAAAACTCTAGAAAGGCTAAATCAACTGTTTATTGCACTACTTGATTCAATGACTATCTGGCACATTGGGCTCTTCTCCAACCCAGGCCACACCTTGCATAATGCTCCTATCCACATTTGTTACTTGTAAGATCTTTGGTTTATTACCCGTGATGCATAGCCATTCAGCCCAATATTTACCGGTAGACTTCAGCTACCTTTTCCACGGAGCCTTCTACCCCAAAAAATGAGAATGCTAGCAATAGAAACCATTATTATCATTAATTCATTCTATTGTCTTTTCTGAGTCTATGCCTATATAGGACATGCAGGTCCTATCTGCCTACAGTCCAAGGGTATCTTTGCCTCCCATACAGCTCCCCTCAACAGTGCCACACCTCACAAGTCTTCATTTTATCGTACACCTACAGGAGCCCTTCGCCCTTCATTATCTCCCATCTCTAGCTAACCAAACGATGGCCACTTGCAGGTGTATCGCAGTGGGGAAAAATTGCATAGACAAGTAGACGTGGGGCTCTTCTAATACTGACATTAAGACTATATCCGAGAACATACTGACCCTTCTGAAGCTTTCGAAGAGGCCGGCCAGCTGGGCGTTGCAGACTTGTGGGTACCTCGGGAAATTCACCCTCTCACTTTCTAGCCTCCTTCCGGTTCCATTCGCAAGGTCGTGCTTAAATTTCAGTGAAGTCATGATAGAGCGTATTGCTCTTTGATAGCTTAGCCCAACTTCTCTAGTGCCGTTGACTCATCGACGAAGTAAGCCCTCCTGGCTAGTTTGCCGAAATCTTGGTCTTGGCGCCCACAAAAATTCCAAAGTTAAAAACCCTTCCAAAATGTCAGTCCCAGCATAAACATCGGAAATTTGTTCACCCTCAAGTTGTTTATCCCATTAGAGTAATAGTCCTCCGTGAGCCGGGAACCAGGCTTTGTATTTTTCGATTTGTTTTCCTTGCAGGCATAAATAGCGTTTTAAATACATAGTGAGAGATGGCTGGAAATTAATGGGGCAAGCTCCAGTTTGCAATTGGGGTGACGCCGTTATTGGTCGTTGAGGCGAGATGATGCGTGGTTAGAAAGAAGATGAGGACTAAGATGAGAATGATAAGAGAGGCATTGTCGAGAACTCGTCAAATGGAGATATATGTGTGAATATTGTGAATCATACACTAATTAGCACGTCGGGCTTCTCTCCAACCCAGGCCACACCTTGTACAGTGTTCCTATCCTCTTTTATTACTTGGAAGATCATTCATAAATTGCCCGTGATAAATGGCTATTCACTTTAATTTTAACCCGTGGAATTCGGCCATCTTTTCCACGGAACCTTCTACCCAAAAAAAAAAAAAAAAAAGGAATTAATGGAAACTGCGTGAGCGGGTAAAAGTCTCAAAAAACCTTCAGCCCCAGCCAGGCGAGGCCTAGACACCGAGACCACATGAGGTGCGCATATTCATCTAAATCTCCCTTCTTTGTAACAGTCGAGGTCATCTTGATCCAATCCACCATCTCCGTATCAGGTGCTGGGTACGCTGCGGAAACTCATCGGATGGCTTCTCCTCCATGATCAAGGGTTGATGATGAGTAGGACTCCTACCCTAACATCTGATCTGATCGTGGTTAGCTTCATGAGAATGGTGATAGGGGAATGTGCAGGGAGATGAAGACGATACAGACGGCGAAAGCGATTGGGAATTCTCATCGTAATGAGGACTGTGCTACTCAATCTCGGCTCTGTAGACTCTACAGTGAGAGCTGGAGGTTCGTAGGGGACACCGCTGACAGGTGTTGAGAGTAGCCCCCTTAAGGTCTGGATAGCTTTGACATATATCGGACTCGGGACAGGAGATTGCTGGTTCGAATCCGGCAAATCAAAACTAAAATTCTCGCGGAGCTGGTGTCTAGGGCTCTTTTTTAATTTTTCTGAGAAGTTTCCTTGGGAAAGTTGGCCGAATTCCACGGATAAATAATGAGCTAAATGGCTATCCATCACGGGCAATATATCAATGATATTTCAAGCAGCAAAAGAAGACAGGATCACTGTACATGGTGTGGCCTTGGTCAGAGAAGTGTCCAATGTGCTAGAAAGTCATAGATTCAAGTAGGACAATGAACAAACGCACAAACGCACATACGCACACAAAGATATCGCGTTTGTATCGCAATTCCATCCTATTTCTAGGAGTGGTAAGAATCTCTCCTAGATATATATTTTAAAAATCCAACTACATAAGACCCCCTTAAACAGAAACAGAAAATTAGGTGCTTGGGTATCTAACATGTGACGCGTGGGGAGATGTTTTATGAGAACAAATATGGCCCAGCAAATATGACTTTCTTGACTAGACTAGATCCAAGGAGCTTTTATCTTTTCTGAGGTAAATCTTGTGTAAACAATGAATGCGAGTTAATTTTGATACTGTAATTATTTTAAAAATCTAAATAATTGATCAAGTTCATGGTCCAATATTGAACAGATTGTCATTATTCAAGATAAACCATTCACAGCTCATAGTTAGATTCCATGAGTTAGTAGCGAAGATGTTGATACTACCTGAGATTAAAAGAGATTGGACCTTTATTTTGATACAATTTGCATCTATTGAAGTTCTGTCGCCTGTATCGCTGCTTTGTAATAATTAGATTATAATAAGACATAGAGCGATATTTTGAATGTTCTGCAGACTCTCCGCATCAGACTAAATTAGTATTACTTGTCCTTCTTAATGTTGGCACAGATTGAGTCTGCTAGCAGATAGATAATGGTTGGCCACTTTATTTTTAATTCTATATCTAAGCTTTCTACAGAGAGTTATCCTATGTAGATGCCAAGGCCCTGGTGCGATCAACACCCGTGCGTGAAGGCTTACACTTCGGACCAATTCGAGTGATCCAGGCACTCACTATTATGCCAAAAATATTAGATTCTAACCAAGATATCTTAGACGACTACCATGCCATTCCGAATCATGGTGTATCCAAACTAAAAGTCGGGTAAGGATAAAAACACTTAAAAATATTAATTTGTTTACGACAATTTTTGATCCTTTCTTAAAATACTTGATGTGATATAGCAACTAGGTATTCAGAGATAGACCAGTCTCGTTATGGATTTTACATATCGGTAGCATATCCAGCTGTGGATAGTGAGATAAATAACGCTACCTTGACTTTGAGGGATTGGTTAAATACGCGACCTTAGTCTTTCAAAATATCTCCATGGAGGAGATTTTTGTCGCAGATTTAGATATAATTTAGATGGAGAGTTCAATCTCTTGTTTCTTGAATCAAACAAGAGTATGGCCGGTGGTTTATTAAGATGTAGACTCCAAGAAATTTTCATGATTGTCAAGGCTCGCTCCAATGACGCTAGCTTGTGAGAAAATTTTGGTTTATTCATTGCTTCTCGAAAATATTGTTATCGAAAAACAAACTCGACTTTTTTTCATTTAAAAATATTCCAAATAGTAGATCATATTTCCGTGACTTAAGCTTTCGGCCTTAAGTTTTGGATTAATTGAAGATAACTCCGGTTACATAAGAGTGAAACATGAGAATATTCAAAAAGAACATACTAGTCTGTAAAGTTGAGTGAAAAAGGTATGATGGCTTTTTATGAATTTGCGCGATGAATTAGTATAAGCTAGTATCTAAGCTGCCAATTTTGGACTAAATTTTTTTATCGCAAGCCTTTCAAATAGTCAGCATCCAAGAATTTTGATGGTTCCGAGAAGATTGAACAGTAACAAGACACATTCTGCCAGGATATAAAGAGTATCATAGGTTCAGAATTGTGGATGGTTCGCTGTGAGTGCATTGTATTATAGCGTGAGAGCTCAGCATACATCCTAGATTCACCCACTACATTTCGAAACTAGCTCCATAAGAAGCTCCGCAGAATTTGAACATCTGGCCTTCGACGGTCATCATTTGTTAATTATATCGTTTTATACTCAGCCAAATAGAATCTTTTGGTGCTGGTATCTTAATTAGAAATAAGCTGACCGTCTAGTGATGGGATATCAAATTTTTAGCGATAACATTAGTTTTAGGTTCGTGACTTAAATCAAAATTGGATTATTTGATTCAACTGTGACTAGCAGGTTTCAAATGCATAACTCATCTTCGCTTTCATCATAGCCGTAATTGTTTTGAAGTTTGGATGAATTTTGTCTTGCCGATCTTTTTCTTGAAATATTTATATTAAAATTTGTTTTAGTGTTGTGCCTGGCTTTACAGCCGACTTGATTTTTGTTGTTAGGTTTAGACCTTAGTTTTAATCTAGAGGCTAAATTTGCACTAGATTTCGGCTGAATTCTTTTTTTGTTTACTATGTGGGAAGGATCTAAATGGACTTGTGTTCTAGATGAGTATTTAACAGACTGTTGGCTAAGTTCATCTTCATCTTCGTTACATAACTGGTTCTGCCTTATTTCATTGGCTTGATTGGTGCAAGCAAACTTGTCTTCAACAGAATTTCTATTCAATTCGAAGATTTTATTGGGCCGAGGCAGTAAGTTATCGTCCTCGTCAGTTTTTTGAAGAATAGACTTTCCTAAGCAGACTAGACAGCCATGTATACATTGGAAAGAGTGATTACGGAGACATGTAGGTGAATTAAGTGACTTATTAGTCATTGAACTACAGGGAGTGTCAAGCAGCCTTTTTTTGAATAAGAGCTGCTCATTACCATTGAATCTTACTTCATTCTTATATGAGAGACTTTCCGGAGAATTACCCAGTACGTTCTTAGATTTTTTAATTAAGTTGAGATAAGAGCGGGTTGCTAGTTTTCCATCCCCCTTTCCGATTGATAAGTGGGGCAAAGTCTGAATTTCCTGGTTGATACTTGGGGATTCGGGCAAAGAGATAGGTTTAGTTGAAAATTGGATAGAGGGTAATTGAGTTGGAATCTGAAAATTAGAGGGTTGAATGTTCAGCTTCGACATTGTTTCAGGCATGCTATTTTGAAATATGGATTCAATTACTCTAGAGCGAGGGTTTAGTAAGGTTTCGGACTGTAATGGCGGTGTTCGTAATGGGGTCCGATAATTTAGCTCGTCTATCATCTCTAGATAATTCCTCTTCAGGTTGTTGACTGCAGGTGTTTTAGCCACCCATTCACCGATCCCTTCTTCCCATCTAAATTTATTCGTTTTTTTCTTAGCTGCACCAATTTTTACTGAAGTCGGGATAATTTCAATATCTTGTGGCCCAGAGCAGTGGGATGCATTCATGTCATTGGCATATTCAATATGTTGGTGAACTGGAACTTCTTGCGCAAATAGTAATGCGCTTTCTAAAGCAATATCTTTTAGAAAATCATAATCTCTACTACTAGACACGAAATTTTGTAGTCGATTATGGATCAGCTGAAGATGGTCAAATCCGAGGCCTGTTGTACCACGACCACAGCATCGAGCTACATGGCAAATAAAGACTGCTATTCGCTCACACATGAGCGATGAGCGATTCGGCTGTGTAATAAATTTGGATAAATTGTCCTTTATTTGTTCATCTAATCTAGGTTGATTGTGGTTCCCGCATATGATTAGGTAAGAAGTAAGAAGAAAGTAATAGTTTTCGGTAACTTCGTCATCAGTAGACTTGTATGGTAAACAGCCCATTAGTGAAGAAATAACAATATCAAAACCGTCTTGTGCTTGTGTTTGATCTTGTTTTCCCAGTGTTGCATCGGGATTTAACTCTAATAGCTTGACTGTGAGTAGAAATATTAAAAGACTAGTAAATAAGTTTTTGACAGCGTCTCCAAGTTTATTACTTGTGCATGAGATGCCTGTTTCCTTGATTGGAGTTCTTCGATATGATTCCTTGCGGGCGGGATAATTTAATAGAAGAGTAAGAGACTTTTCAAACAATTTAAATGCGTCGTGCTGAATTCCAGACTCTGCCGCTAGTGAGTGAAATAAACCTATCCAGGTTGGCCCAAACTCCTTTGTAGCAAGCCACTCAATTGGGAGAATGTCTTCGGATATCAAATACAATAATTCCCTGTAAGCAAATGAAGAATGGCTAGTATATTGCGAGAGATTTAATAGCAAGGAAATAGGTTTGCTGGTTACCTCATAGGTAGATTTGGGTCGGGAGTGAGCAGTAGATCGAACATGAGAAGATAGTATAGCTTGACCTTCTTCTATGGCTTCCATCTTCATGCAGAGCGAAATAAGGACCCCACAATACTCAGATCTGAACAAGCCTTCTCGTGTAGCCTCGCATATGAGGTGTACCCCGTGTGCCCGGACAACGTTTCTTAGCCACTTCCATCCGTTCCCATGTGAGCCATAACTCTCCAACTCATTATATACTTCATGTGAAATAATTTGGTGATCGATAGATGCTGTTTTAACTTTTGGATGTGCAACATTGTTTTGTTTGCCTTGCTGTTGTGTTATGTATCTCGGTATTGACTTTAGTGTAGTTTCCATCAATGATGTAGTTCCTTTTCTTTGAGTCTGTGTGATGGTAGGCGAAGTTGCATGCAGTAGCCCTTCTAAACCGTTATATATTCCATTGAAGATACCATTTTGAGTAGCACTAGAATTTTGGCGGATACCAGCTAGTACCTTTGTTGAATATACAACCTCACTTCTACATACTTTTTTTACTGACTCAAGCTTATTGCTTTTTGTATAATCTAGTTGTTTTACAGGCTCAATATCATTGTTGCATAATTTAGGATGCACGTTAACATATATCTGTTGCTCTCCTCTTGCTCTTGTAAGAATAGGTGTGGGTATTGCTACTTCTCCAGGGAGTTGTAATTTTTGGGTGTTGGTGGTTAAATGTATCTTTGAATTGGCTGTGCACTGTTTTGTGTCTTTCATTGACCTACCGTATGTTCGTCTCAGCTTCTTTTTCTTTTTCGTCCAGTCCGCATCTTTTTTGTTCAGTAGATCTTGCGAGGCCTTTGATCCGTATGATATTTCTTTTGGTTTCTTTCCGATGACGGTGTAAGTAGAGCAAGATTCTGTTTCTTTTCGAAGAATTGCTATCCGCGAAGTTATGATGCGTAGTAGGCGCTGACATCTTGAGGCAGTCCATCCCCTCTTCGCTTCCTCGTTAAGATAGTTAAAATGTCTAGATATATCAAGTCCCCTTGTAGGTGTAGCTAAATCTGTATGATTCTCATGGACGAAATATTTATGTTCCATTGCATGTGCATCCTGGCTTCATTTAGTTATGGTATTTTGGAAATCATGAATGCGAAATACCTATTATTTCATTCCTTAAATCAAAATACAGGCGATAAACTAAAATTAGGGTAGCAATAGTAGGTAAATTTCCTTGAAAGGTGTTACTCTATCATAATAGTAATATCTTGACTTTTTTGAACATTATTATTCTACCTCCACAAAACCTAGTTGTTATTGTTTACATCGCGACACGACCAGGGTGAGTATGCGCCTCTTTCAGGGCTCTACGCGGCCGCGCTGCATAAGCTCGCTCAAAATGATCCAGGGTACGTTGTAACGAGCGCAGACCAATCCCATATAGACTCTTGGGTTGAAGTTCTTTAATTAGGTAATCATGCGCTTCTAGACAAATTATTTTCTCAAGATTGCCCATATCGTGACCAGGGCTGATAAGTCAAAGATTTTGCCCACCACCTTTCCAAACAAGTCAATATGGCAGAGCAAAATGATGCGCAAGATAACATGACGTCTGGTAAGTAGACCTTGTGGCTCACAAGTTTAGAGTCTAGAAATACCTTATGTCCTCATTGTTTACCAACCAAGCCCTAGTGAACTCAGCTAAAGGGACGGAAATTTCCACTAGAAATGGTTCTACAGCTACGGATAAAGAAGAGCCAGTGACCGAGAGCAGCGAGTCCAACACCGAAGGTAGGCGACTAAACATTTATCTAGACTGCTCATAATCTCATGAGGGACTAACTAACACGTTTAGTTGTATTCGAACTTACAATTCACTTACCCAATGAGTCTAAATCTGTATCAGTAACAGTAATAAGTCAATTTATTTCTATAAGGGTATTTCCGCTAACCCTAAAAGGTATCCAACCAAGAAGCTGTACACGATATCCGGCAGTCTATTGTCGAGCACCCTGGCACATTTCAGTATTCTTGCTTCCATTTGGAGCACAAGGGAACAAAATTAAATGATTTAACTCAGATTTCCGAGGTAGACGGACTGGTCAACACCCCTGAATTAACTCTTGTTCAAGACCCGTACACCGAAAAAGAAGCCAGATTACATTTTCTACGAGTTCGAGAACTTATCGGTGCAGCAGGAAACAGAATAGATACGTTGCACGGAATAATGTCAGGTCTCTCCTTGTACGAGTCGATTTCTCGTGAGAAAGTAGAAGTAAATACAGAGCCCTCAGGAACGCAATATCTTTCAGACTACGATTTCAAGGCACCTGGATCAATAATGACACTGCTTCCTCACGAGCAAGAATCTGCTCCAAAAACTGTTAAAAATATTTCGCTATCTCCATGGCACCCTCCACCTTATCACCTTCGACAAAAAGGACATTTATTATATCTCTTGCTGACGACAAATGAGGGAGAGCAGTATCAAATCACCTCACATGTATCTGGATTTTATGTCAACAAATCTAGCAACATTAAATTCGACCCTTTTCCCCGCGGTGCACCCAAAGCTCACGCAGCTCACTCTTTACTTACACTGATAACAGAGATTTCCCCATCTTTTTCTAGCTCATTTGAGAAGCTTCTAAAACAAAACAACATGAAAGAGCCTCTCGTAACATTTCAAATTAGCAATGTAACTCCAGCAAACCCTTGGGTCGTTCCAAACTCTACTTCTTCTGCAACAATTCATCAAGCTGATATAACAAGATCTCAAGAAAGTTACTTGATTTCTGGAATGGAAAACACAGAAACATTGCGGGACTGGAACGAAGAGTTTCAATCAACAAAGGAGTTACCTAAAGAAAATGTACAGGATAGAGTCTTCCGCGAGCGCCTAACTTCCAAGATATTTGCCGACTTTACTGAGGCCGCTGCAAGAGGCGCAGTACTCATTGCCAGAGGCGAGATAACGCCGCTCAACCCCACAGAAAACGAAGAAGCGCAGATATTTGTATACAACAACGTATTTTTCTCGTTTGGAGCCGACGGGGTTGGAACGTTTTCCATGGAGGGCGGAGATGAGGCCGCAAGGGTTGCCACAGGAAAAGATGTTCTAGGCGTACGGTTAGTAAATCAGCTTGATATCGACGACCTATTCACAGCCGGAACTGTTCTCGTCGACTACTTTGGAAAGCGTATTGTAGCTCAAAGCATTGTTCCTGGAATCTTCAAGCAACGAGATCCTGAAGAGAATCAGATTGACTACGGAGCAGTTGATGGTAGAGATGTAGTGGCTGCCGACGAGAGATTTGTACCGGTCTTTGAGAAACTCTCTGAAGCCTTAAAGGTTAAGAAACACAGCGTATGGGACAAGTCTGGAAAAAAATTTGAGCTACAAGGAAGCGTTGAGACTAAAGGCTTACTTGGAACCGATGGGCGCAAATATATACTTGATTTGTATCGTATAACTCCTTACGATATTTTATGGATGGAGGAATACGGCACCACAGCTTTCAACCCAGAACAATTTAGCAGTACCAATAGGAGATCTTACCCCCATAGAATGACAGTATTGCGACCTGAGCTTATCGATGCATTTTGGAAATATAGGATGCGAGAATGGTTTAATGGAGAACTTGCGAAGCGTCGAAATGTTGAAACTAGTATATCTGAACAAAAAGATAGCATATCTTCAAGGGGAATTGAAGATAAGTCAAAGGCAGAAGATTCTTGTCAGTCAACTCACTCCAATATCACCAAAGAATCTCCTAACGTTGATGATTCTGACACAATCGATATAACTAATTTCAGTCTCTCGCTTAATCCGGATGTCTTTAGTAGTCAACAGCCTCAAACAGATGAAGAAAAAGAATCCTGGAAAAAGGATGAAGCAGACGTTAGATCTGCCTGTGACTATCTCAGAACCTTCATTATTCCAGAGCTTATAAACGATCTAAAGGAAGGTGACGTAGGATTTCCAATGGACGGGCAATCTTTAAGTCGGCTTCTTCACAAGCGAGGTGTCAACATACGATATCTCGGGAAAATAGCCACGCTTTCCGTAGGACAAAAACTAGAGTCCCTTCGCATTCTTTCTATTCAGGAGATGATATTCAGAGCATTTAAGCACGTATCAAATAGATTCCTAAAAAAGCTACCGAACCCTTTAATAGCTTCCTGCCTGGTGCATTTACTAAATTGTCTTCTGGGTACTGGTCTCAATTCAAAGCCATCAGCTCGTGTCGAGGAAAATCTAGCTACCTTATTCGATAAAGTAGATATGGAATTTAGAAGCGTGACTCCGCAAACTCTACAGGAGGAAATCGAAATCCAAATTTCGAGACGTTTCCAGTACAGCATTGAAAAAAACTGGGTTATAAATATAAAGCATGTTCAAATGCTGAGGGAAATTTCACTACGGCTGGGACTTCAACTTGAAGCTAAAAATTATATTTTTAACAGAGATTCTATTAAAAATCCAAGTCAAACTAACGGAGAGCAAGGCATTGTTTCTAATGAATCCTCTAACACAAGCAAAAAATATAAAAAGCCTAACAGCCGACCAAGCCCACCATCAACAGTAGAGCCGCATTCATTCTCTCCCGATGATATTATTAACATTGTCCCAATTGTAAAAGAGGCTTCTCCTCGATCATCCCTCGCTCAGGAAGCCCTGGAAGCCGGTCGTATTTCTCTTGTTCAAAATCAAACGAAGCTTGGCCAAGAATTGCTTCTAGAGACTCTTTCTCTTCATGAGCAGATCTATGGGATTGTTCATCCTGAGGTTGCCCGAGTTTACAATACTCTTTCTCTTCTCTACTATCAGCTTGAAGAAAAAGAAGCAGCTGTCGAATTAGCACGCAAGGCCGTAGTAGTTTCTGAACGTACCCTAGGAGTCGATAATGCCGAGACGTTACTATCGTATCTTAACCTTGGTCTATTTTCTCATGCTGCTGGTGAAACGGTGCAGGCCTTAACATACATAACCCATGCTCTTCACCTTTGGCGCATCATTTACGGCCCTTCACACCCTGACTCAATCACAACACTTAACAACGCTGCAGTCATGCTTCAGCACCTGAAATGTTATCATTCTTCTCGTCTTTGGTTCGAAGCATCTCTTGAAATTTGCTCTTCAATTTACGGACCCAACTCGATTAATGCTGCTACATTGCTGTTCCAATTGGCACAAGCTTTAGCATTAGATAGTGACTCTAAACAGGCAGTAAAGCGTATGAAAGAGTCGTACAACATATTTCTCGCTGCCTTAGGTCCGGAAGACAAGAATACCAAAGAAGCAGAAAGCTGGCTTGACTCACTGACGCAAAATGCAGTTAACATTGCCAAGCATGCACTAGCAAAAGACATGCAAGCACGTAGGCTAAGAGCTGAGGTCCAAGTTGGCGTTGGGCAAGCCACACCAGGACGCGAGAAAGTTTCAAAACAGATGGATCAACGTAGCATTGATGAACTACTTAAATTCATCGAGGGAAGTGATTCAAAGTCTCCTAAAAAAAGAGGATCCACTGCGGGGAGAAATAATCCAAAAAGAAGGGGAGGTCCATCTATCGCATGAAAATATATTACGTTACCATGATACATGCGCACAACCTATGAGTTTTACGGGTGGTTTGATTTCAAGCATTGGGCGGCGAAGAATAACTAGTGGCATACTACGTTATGGTAATTTTAAAAATCTCATTTACTAACTTTCTCACCATAGACTCTTTGTTAATCGACTGTAAGGTATTCTGTATATCATCTTATGACTGTGGCATAAAGTTACATATCTTTTTAACTGTACAATAGAAATTGTGGGTAGCAACTTCAGAGCTAGCTTTTATCTGTATGCAGGCCAAAAAAGCCTCAGAAACTGAATTGATGTCTGTGGGTATGTAAATTTTCATCGCCAGAAGCATGTTGAATGATGCAAGGAGAAGTTTAGGCTACTTGGATTGAAAGAAGTATGTTTTTTGGAGGCTAAATTATATTGAAAGTAGTGAACAACACGTTAAGAAAGGTATTCGCAGTGCTACACATTTAATTGAAATTTGTATCATCATTTTCATCATGTACCTATCGTGCGACAATACAGAAGGTGTAGGTGCAAGTTTTGTGAATGATAGAGGCACTGACAAGTCGCGAAACACTAGATTGGCATGAAAAATAGAAGCTAATGCTATCCAAAGTGCTCAAATAGTTGCAGAAATGGGATTATTGTGGTCTCCTGTTCAGAGGGGAGGAGTAATTCCGTTGGTGCAGCTCTGAATGGCAATGCTTCTACCCCGAAGGATTAAATGAGGCCGTGGAGGCTCCTGAGATGATTTCTCGAATTGCAACTCAAACGAAAGTAAAGACTTTAGCCCTGGATGAGGTCATGTAGAGCATTGCGGATTCTGCTCGAAAACTGACCGCCATAATGACCCCTAAATTAAAAGGCAAGACTAAAAACCTGTTAGCGGTGCTCCCTACTAACCTTGGAGCGAGATTTTCTCTCAGAACTAAGTTCTGTCAAATTTCGTGACAACGAAGGAGTTGGCCCACGAGGCGATGATTAATGTGTCCGTACCACATCAATTTTCACTACTAATAAAATTATTTCTGACCAAAGGCTAACAAATCTTCAAACGTGAGAGTCTAGGGCACTCAAACTATTCACATGCAGAAGAATAGAACAATAAAAAATGGATAACCTTGTGTGTAGAAGGTATTAGAATATGCAGTCCTAATGGAGTGCACATCCCACAATAGTCTTAGACTTATAGAGGATGTAAATGGATTTAAAAAAAAAAATCTTCAAACGTGACCTAGAATGTTCTCACTTTAATGTCCATTCTATTCGTCAACTAAGTCTCCGATTTCAGCTGGTAACCAGATACGCGCCTACGGTAATCTAAGTAAATGACGGAAGAGACAGATCGTCGTATACGGATCTATGAGGCACATCTTTAGGATAGTGTTGGAAAATGAAGTAAAATCCTATTAGTAACGATTACCTTCATTACGTAAGGGTTCCCAACGCAATCCCCACATCCACTATTTACACTCTAGTCCTATCTCCCCTGTAAGATCTGCACGAACAGGTACTAGTGTGGCTCTACTTCTATGACAAGAGAATACGGCGTAAATGATGGCTTACTACTACCAACTGGTTTTTACTTAATTATATTATTACGTCATTTTTTATGGTCTTGATCGATATCTATTTACATATAAACAAATAATCAATTCACTCTTCTCCGCTCTGCTTTAAGTGATCCTCTATCTTTTTCAACAGATAGATGTGAGGTATATCACAATTAATAAACAAGATGATTTGAAAGTTAGATAGAATTCCTAAATGGTTGAGACATTGAATTATGGAAAGGAGTGTTACAAATTGATGAGCTGTGTGCATGCCAACCCTTTGGTTTAGAGTGTGCAGACGTCACTATAATCATCCCTTTGGTTAGATCGCACGGTGGTACATCAACTGAGTTGTTCTCCTACGTACTTTGTGGATAGTTCGAACACCATTCTCACTTGTGGCAAGAGATGACTTGTTAGAAACTAATGAGACTCGACCACGTTTCTCTCGGTGCTCATGTGTACGCAGCAAGAAGGCATGTTTACATAAATAACCGTTGCGAAAATTTTCCTTTGGTGGATACTCACGGAGGAGGCTAGACTGTTTGTGTAAGCAAACATACCTCAGTGGTCCTTGCTAGTGAAAACCAGAGTGTGAGTGTCTCCAACGTTAAAAGAGGCATCCAACATGTATACATAGTGTTGAGCTACGGTTATTCTGGGCTTACCCGAATTGACTAATAACATGATTCGGGTCGGAGAAGTTCATGCTGATACATGATATGTATCAAGGAAAATATCTTTTTTTCGGATATTACACAACTCATACTCTGAATTGAGATCATATTCATGCTCCCGATGATATACTAATCTTATCTATCCTGAGCACGTTTTGGTATGTTTCGGTGGTAGCATTATTGCCAGCGAGTTATCTAGTAGGATTTCAAATGAGGAAAGACTATTTATTTAGAGACTCGGTAGCCAGAGAAAAGAGAAGCAACCCTTCGATGATTTGTTACCTTCTACTCCCACTTCCAAAATAGTCCAACACTTAGTACTAATTACGTGTCAAAGCTTGATGTGAGGGACTATCAATAAAATGATGTACAAAGTAACGGTGGCCAGATACTGTCTATTTTCCAGATACGTCTCGGAAGTAATCATCGAAATTCTTCTTGAGTTGTTCAAACTTCTAAAGCGCTGATCACATCATTCGCTCTATTACAATATGTCTTTGATAATGTGTATAAGTTAGTCACAGCAAAGCCGGCAAAGACGAATTCTTCACCTTCCAGTGGTGCCGGTGTAATCGCTCAATGTGCTCTGCATATCTGGGTTAGCCAAGAAGAATCGCATCCGAATCTAAGTCAAGAGCAAACACATGCATATCTCCAGGAGGGCAAGACTGAACAACTGTACGCGGTGTCCTCTACGAACCTGGGAGTGAAATATTCTCCCAGAGCCAAGTTCAGTCAAATTTCTCAATATCAAAGAAGTTGACCCACGAGGCAAAAATTCAAATTACTCCACCATGTCAATCTTTTACTCCCAAAGAGTCCGATTCTCAAAAAAGCTTCATCAAGTCTACAAGTACGGCCTAGTACATCCTCGTTTCAATGACCACACCTCTCGTCGACTTTCTCTGGCCTCAGGCGGCCACCAAATACATGCCCACGCCGATATTTATACTCGACGGAGGAAGCAAAGCGTGGAGCACAAATCTGGGAGATACCTCTTTGGGATGGACGTGAGAGGATTCAGGACAAGTTCACAAGATGATGCAAAGGAAGGATACAAACTCGATGGGCGTGTCATTTTGAATTTTGGCAAGAGTTTTACGAATTGAGCTTTGTGCGCGCCAAGACTTCGCTTGCGAGAGTGCAGCTGACACTATAAAAACAAGTCGACGATGGAAGGTGTTGTGATCCGCCTCCTGGTGGTGTTCTCCGGTATAGTTTGAGTAGCCTGGGCACCGACTCCACTTGGGAAGGAGACATCTCAGATTACATTTTGCGCGAAGAAAAGTTGATGGATGACGGAGGCATGTCTGGATAACTCAGGGTTTTTCAGATGTTCCCCTGGGTGGGTATTCACGGATGAGGGTTGACTTGAGGTGAAGAAAAAGCCACCATAACTTCGCAGTGGTACTTGCAAATGAAATCTGAGGCATGAGTGCTCTTCCCTTACGTTGAATCATCTATTCTGTACTTTTCTTTGATATTGTGTCATAGCTAGATAGCTGCAAACGCAATTAAAATCTGATGCAAAAAAAAAAGGCTGCGGCTATCTTTCTGTGACAAAGTTGCACGGACACTAATCGTTAATGCGTCAATGACCTTGAGATCTGGAATACATCTATTTTGAGTACATTACATAGGCTCCCGAGCGACGAAGAAACAGGAAACTGTTACAGCGAGTTTTATTGGCGACAGTACTTGACGCGTCCGAGTTTTGCTATTACGATTTGAATATTTTTTTGAGCTTAGGCGAATACCTAAGCCTAATATCAAGAATTCTTAGGATAAGGCTGTTATTAATTCATTTTATTGCTCACCAAACTCGGGACTGTCCGAGGAAAAGGGTTTCTTGTGCCAACTGCGTCAAGGAATATCGTTCATGGCAGAAAGCAGCGTGTCGGACCTACCAGGTCTACAAGGGTAGTGTGGAGAAGGCTCGGATGGAGCTGTTATCGAGAACGGCGGAAATATGGAATGAAGAACCAACAATGGCGCCAATACGAACAGTCGGAGCGACTGATGATCAAGGATTCACTCTGATCACCAGTAAAAAGGCTGAAGGACTTAAAAGAGGACCGGGACGACCGCGTAAGGTAGTCGAAGCCCCAGCGGCACCAACCATCGCCTTGACAGCAGCACTACCATCGGGGCCAACTCTTCGAACACTTCGAAGACCAACACCGAGTGAGGAGGTGCCTTCTCTTTTTAATTTCTCATAACGTTAGTCTGATCGAAGGGGGAGTTAACGAATTCGGGGGAAAGTTTATAAATTTGTGGTTGAAAGGAACGTCCTCAGCATCAAGCCGGGTCGGTTCAGAGTGGCAGGACATCGGGTTTTGTTTTGTTGAAAGCTTTTTCCCTTCCTAACATGGCTTAGCGTCTTCATGGTTCTGTATATAGATACCGCATAGGACGTTAAACTAGAACAATGAATGGATGAATTCATTTTATTATCCTTTCTGAGTCTATGACTATGTAGGACATGCAGATCCTCTCTGCCTACAGGCCATGGATACTGTTTAATGACTTAAAGATCCAATGATCAATATGTATTTCCTTAGAACTAATGACTAATTGTGTTGATGAGTAATGAGGTACCCGTTTGGGAATGGCATTAGGAGACAGGGGGTTTTACGGTTTATAGATGTTTCCTTCTAGGAAGACAGGGGGGGAGAGATCACTTTTACACGTACGATAATTATTACTGCTACATCAAGCTTTTGATATAAATTACCACCTAAGTATTCCGACAGATACCTATACCAGTAGTATATCCCCTCCTATGCCTCCCATATAGCTCCCCTCAAACAGTACGAGCCCTCACAAGTCCTCATTCGATCATACACTAAGAGGAGCCCTTTGCCCTTCATTATCTCCCCTCTCCAACCAACGAAACAATGGCCATTTGCGGGTGTATGGCAGCCAGGAAAAATCGCAAAAACCACTGGGTGCGGAGCTCTCCTAATACCGACATTAGGACTAAATCCGAAGACATAGTGACCCTTCTGAAGCGTTCGAAGGGCCGGCCAGCTAGGCGCTGCAGACTTGTGGGTATCTCGGGAAATTCACCCTCTCACTTTCTAGCCTCCTTCCAACTCCTTCACGAAGGTCGTGCGGAAATGTCAGAAAAGTCTTGACAGAGCGTGATTGCTGTATAGTAGCTTAGCCCAACTTCTTTTGTGTCGTCCAGAGCTCTAGGGAGTGCCGTTGACTCATCGACAAAGAAGCCCTCCTGGCTAATTGGCAAAAATCTTGGTTTTAGCGCCCACACACGTTTCGAAGTTGAAAACCCCTTGAGAATGTTAGTCCTAGCATGATCTTCAGAGACCTGTTCCCCCTCAAGTTGTTTATCCCATTAGAGTAACAGTCCCCCAATAAGCCAGGAACCAGGCTTTATATTTTTCGACTTGGTTCCCTTGCAGGTATAAATAGCGTTGTAAATACATAGTAAGAGGTGGCTGGAAATTAATGGGGCAAGCTCCTGTTTGCAATTAGAGCAACTTCTTTATTGGTCGTTGAGGCGGTATGATGCGTGGTTGGAAAGAGGTTGAGGACTCAGAAGATGATGGTGAGTGCTGCATGATTGAGAAGTCGTCAAATGGAGATATGCATTTTTTTTTGCATCGGATATTAATTGCGTATGCAGCTATCTAGCTATGACACATTATCAAAGAAAATTACAGAATAGATGACTCAACGTAAAGGAAGAGCACTTATGCCTCAGATTTCATTTGCAAGTACCACTGCGAAGTTAAGGTGGCTTTTTCTTCACCTCAAGTCAACCCTCATCCGTGAATACCCACCCAGGGGAACATCTGAAAAACCCTAAGTTATCCAGACATGCCTCCGTCATCCATCAACTTTTCTCCGCGCAAAATGTAATCTGAGATGTCTCCTTCCCAAGTGGAGTCGGTGCCCAGGCTACTCAAACTATACCGGAGAACACCACCAGGAGGCGGATCACAACACCTTCCATCGTCGACTTGTTTTTATAGTGTCAGCTGCACTCTTGCAAGCGAATTCTTGGCGCGCACAAAGCTCAATTCGTGAAACTCTTGCCAAAATCCGATATTTCACGCCTGTCGAATTCGTATCTCTCTTTTGCATCATCTTGTAAACTTGTCCCGACCCCCCTCACGTCCATCCCAAAGAGCTATCTCCCAGATTTGTGCTCCACGCTTTGCTTCCTCCGTCGAGTATAAATATCGGCGTGGGCATGTATTTGGTGGCCGCCTGAGGCCAGAGAAAGTCGACGAGAGGTGTGGTCATTGAAACGAGGATGTACTAGGCCGTACTTGTAGACTTGATGAAGCTTTTTTGAGAATCGGACTCTTTGGGAGTAAAAGATTGACATGGTGGAGTAATTTGAATTTTTGCCTCGTGGGTCAACTTCTTTGATATTGAGAAATTTGACTGAACTTGGCTCTGGGAGAATATTTCACTCCCAGGTTCGTAGAGGACACCGCGTACAGTTGTTCAGTCTTGCCCTCCTTATAGCCGCAGCCTGCCACTATTAAAAAGCACGAAACTCGTTAACTGGTTTAAACGATGGGAAATCCATACCAACCTCGGCCTCTTTGTAATCTTCATCTCTCAACAAATGCTTCTAGAAAATTTATCCAGAAGCTAACCGAGATCAGATCAGATAGTAGGGTCAAGGCCCAACCTATCATGCCCTCACTTTACTTGGTCATGTAAAAGAAACAATCCAGTGAGTTTCCGGAGCATACCCAGCTCCTTGTAAAGTGATGTGATGTTTTTATTGTACTACTTGAATCATAGACTATCTAGCACATTGAGCTTCTCGCTAGCCCAGGCAACACCTTGTACAGTGCTCCTTGCCTCTGTTGTTACTTGTAAGATTATTGATATATTGCCCTTGATGAATAGCCATTCAGCTCAGTGTTTACCCGTGGAATCTAGCCACCTTTTCCACGGAACCTTCTACCCAAAAAAAAAAAAAAAAAAAAAAAAAAGGTATCAATGGAAACTGCGTGAGCGGGTAAAATTCTCAAAAAACCTTCAGCCCCAGCCAGGCGAGGCCTAGACACCGAGACCACATGAGGTGCGCATATTCATCTAAATCTCCCTTCTTTGTAACAGTCGAGGCCATCTTGATCCAATCCACCATCTCCGTATCAGGTGCTGGGTACGCTCCCGAAACTCATCGGATAGCTTCTCCTCCATGATCAAAGGTTGGTGATGAGTAGGGCTCCTACCCTACCATCTGTTCTGATCGTGGTTAGCTTCATGAGAATGGTGATAGGGGGATGTGTTGAGAGATGAAGACGACACAGACCGCGAAAACGATTTGGAATCCTCTTCGAAGTGAGGACTATGTTACTCAATCTCGGCTCTGCAGACACTAGAGTGAGAGCTGGAGGTTCGCCGGGGGCACCACTGACATGTATTGAGAATAGTCCCCCTCTCCTTATACAGTGGTACTGATTTAGATCGATTTGACCTACTTTATTACAAGAAAAGGGAATACAGATAGATATACGCACCTCTTGTAGCTCCGTTATCTATGTGCTATCTGACTGGAACTATAGGTCTCTACAAATTTCTCGCGAATGCAGTTTCCATCGCAACCTTTTTATCCCTTTATTTTGGTTAGAAGCTTTCGCATAAAAATAGACTGATCTACGTGTTAATAATAAGCTAAATGGCTATCTATCACGGGCAATATATCAATGATATTTTAAGTAGCAAAAGAGGATAGGAGCACTGTACAAGGTGTGGCCTGGGTCGGAGAGTAGCCCTACATGAACGTACTACCTTGCTCAAGTATAATCAACGAACTAAACTAGATATAAAATTTTCTTCCAAGTAATTTATGTGCCATTGAAACACTGGCAGGTATTGACACGGTACCGATTCAGACATTAGGAATTTACATCAAAATTTGCAAATAAAAATCTGGTCTTATCTTCTCAGTATTACCATGCAAATCAAATTGATTTCATTAGAAGATCTGAGCCAAAATCGTGTGGTTCGTGAAGAATCATTGATTGTGACATACTAATTTCGTTCGATCTCTCTAGCCTGGAAATTTTTTTTGTTATGCCAATGGAGCTGATTGTGCAAATATCTCGGATCAGTGTAAATTGTTAGGGCCATGAATTTCAGTTTCATTGACCAGGAGATCCCGAGTGTGAAGCTTGAGGCGTTAATTTTCTAGTACCACTAGTATCACGAGAATAGTTTGTTGCATGTTTTCACTTTGGAGACTTTTCTGCTTACCCTTATGGGTAATGTTTTAAAGCTAAAGGGTTAATACCAAGATTTTGAAGTCATTTTGTTATTACTGTCAATTGTGTAATGTGGAGAAAATGGAATTCATCTAAACCTAAATGTAAAAAGCCATAGGATGACAATAGTCTAGGCGCCACAGTCAAAACTTCTTAGATAGCAATATTTAGCTTCATTTTTCTAGGAAGCGTTGAATGCTTCAGAATAGATACTGGCACCTTATTGTATTCGCAAAGAAAGCTCATGTTTTGCAAATTGCACGTTTGGCGACTTATGATGATTGATTTCCATAATTATGATTAATTCATGATTTTAAAGATTACATCATCTTTTATCGCTTTACCTAGCTGTACAACCGTAGAAGTGAGATGTCCTAATGCGTAACGTCCATAAGGTTTTCGATCTCAGGAATATCTGAATTCCTCGGTTTAAAGTATCCTCATTGAGCAATACTATAGACCTTCTAGAAAATTATAGATTTTATGATATATCTTATGGTTCCTTAGGCTTTAGATAGAATGAGATTTGCAAATCGGGGGATTTAAATATTCTTTACTCTTCACGATTCTTGTTGCTGAGAATATAAAATTTCCCTAGTTAAAGGTTTAGCTGCAGAAAGGTGAGCGTGCCTTTGGCCGAACATACGCTGTATGATATCCAAGGCTACACGAGGGCTTCCCTCTGCATCCTCATATGATCGCATGGTAGTATCACCTTCGACGTAGACTAAAGTCCTGATCGTTTATTTGTTAGTAGAGCATCCTGAATTTGAAGTGCTGATACCGAGCTTTTAGTTATATCCCATTACTATTTCGAAGGTGTTGGCGTTCATTTTGAGCTCATATCCGGAAAATCTCAAAGAAAGTCTATTAATGTTTCTGACCAGATGTGATCATACGTACCCTTTTTCTAATGCGGATAAGGTTTCTTTTAACCGGCCATCTTGCATGAAAGCTGCTACTCGATACCAGCTTGGCTTAGAATCTTCTCCTGGCCCACTAACAGCTACTGAGTATTTTAGTAATTCCTGTCCCGAACCTGTCTTCACAAGTTGTGGTCGATCACCCAGCCGTCCAATTAAAGTAATTTTCGCGATGTTTTGGCGGGTAATATTGGATGAGAAATTTCGCAAAAAATTAAGTGATGGTGCACGCCTAGAAAGCAATGAAATAGGCATCTTTGATATGGACGTTGGAATTTAATTTCAGCTAGAGTAAATGACGCGTTGTTTTGTTGACTTTGACGGGCCGTGTTTAACTTGAATTTGCTTAGCGCTCTTCCGCACAACTCTTGCACGCGCATCACGTGACTATGTGCATCGGCCATGATGCATTGTTAGGATTTAGGCACGGCTTTGAAAGACGGAAGCCTAGCACCCATCAACGGTGTACTCTGTGAACCTGGTGGTGAAAAACTCACCCAGAGCCAAGATTCAGTCATCTTCCAACGGTCGAATCGATTTTTCCTGACTGAGCTTTGTCAGGAGGAATAACTTTGGGCTGATTTTGCTCGGAACTCCCGGATTACAGATTTCTGGACTACATAAATCACGGAGATACTTATCAAGGCCATTCAAGCTGACTATCGCAATCCCCCGCGATATATTTAACAATTTTTGAAGTCCCTGTTTAATGCCGAACAAAAGACACAACACGACCCGCGACCTTTTCTTCCAACACTATTAAGATAAGAATTTCATTTTAGTCCCTTCCAAGTCTAAGACTATGAATAACTTCCAACAATGCTGTCGACAGTGAACTATAAGAGGATACCAAACTTGAGTTACTGAGCATAAATGTTCTATGACGAAATCAAGGCCTGCGAGTGAAGATGGGAGAGATGCTGGGCCGTGGAAGATTTGGAAGTGGATGAAATAGTGGGCTTAAATTTGGATAGATATCACCTAGTACATAAGCAAAGGTAGTCATTTCTTCTCAATTTTAACAGCCTTCTCAGGTGCTAAGAAATGGCCGGGCCTTCATTTTCTCTGCTGTGCTCTTTTTTTGGAGCGCTTTAACATCGGGTACTGGCACAGTCTGAGATAATTAGTACTTGGCCCTGTGGCCTAGTTTGATTTAATTCGATTAATTCAACGCATCAGGTTAAAGCCCTTCGACCAGGAAGCTTGACACGGGTGCGTGTTCCCGGAGGACCCACAACTACCACTGAAGCTACCTTTGTATAGCCAGAAATTTACGTTTGAAATAAAAAATATCAAGGATTCACCAGCCAAAATGATATCGACGCTGAGCACAACGAGCCAGACCGCGGAAACCTCCTGTGGATCTCAAGAGTTAGGGACGAAAAAGCCAAGTGGGTCGCAAAGGCCTACCAAAACAGAGCCCTTGGAGCAGACGCAATTTCTGTGCGTTTTCTTAGGACAGCTTGATCGTCAATTGGCAATAAAGTGAAAGCACTTTTAGAAAATGGTTCAGTCGAAGTGAGCCCTCTAAAAGTATTCAAGTTAGCCAAAGTTATCCTTCTCTCCAAAGCGAACCGTGATCTCAGCAAAGCCAAGGGATGGAGGCCTATTGCACTACTCTCCTTCCTCGGTAAAGGTCTCGATGGACTATTTGCAAGTCGAATGACTCACATGGCCCTATCTAATAATGCTATACTGCAGCGGCTCTTTGGAGCGCTATCTAGCAGATCCACTAATGATATTGTCTCATGCGTTATCCGTGATGTGGAACATGCAATACAAAAGAAGGAAAAAGCAGTTCTTGTCACCTTGGACTTACAGGGAGCATTTGACACTGTCCTTCACGCATGACTTCTGCAAAGGATGAATGAAATTGGGTGGCAGGAACCAGCTGTCAGTTGAACAAAGTCCTTTCTACAAGAATTATCCGCCAGTGTGAGACGTGAAGACGGAGTAATAGACCCGATACTCCTAGAATGCGTGCTGCCACAAGGATCGCCTTTATCCCAAATTATCTTTCTCCTCTAAATGACCGAAGTCGTGGGAGGCAGTAATTGAAGATTTGGCTATGTAGACGATGTTGCCATCCTCGGAATAGGCTCAAATACAAACGAAGCTGCAGTAGCTGTTCAGCGAGAGGTCGATGCAGTCCTAGGGCGGGCTGCTGATAACGCCGTCTCTTTTGCCCAGGATAAGGCAGAAGCAGTTTACTTCATAGGCGCCAGAGCCAAGGGATATGAACTTCCGACCATAAGGGTAGGCCCTCGCGATGTACAAGCATCCAACGAAATCTAATAGCTCGGAGTGTATCTCGACCGCGGCCTAACCTTCGCAAGTCATGCCGCCAGGTAGACCAGTTAGGTAATGCCGCTAGTGCAAAATTTCTGATGACTCACTCATTGCACCTAGGTACTAAGGCCCGACTTACTAACAATAATCATCCGCACGATAGTTCTACCAATCACAATGCACGCCGCGGAAGTCTGGTGCTCACGGCCAGCTAGGGAGAAATATCGGGGTGTTGCACGAAATTTCTATGGGAGGCAGTGCAAAGCCATTGACCAAGCTTCCGTCTTTGGAATCCACCTAGCTCTACCAACTTGGAGTACCATGCCTATTATAGCCCTGAGAAGAGAGATTGGCATCCTACTAGCACACATTCTGCTCGAGGAACCTAGGCTCAAGACTGCCACACGAATCCGCAGACTGGATGATTACCGTCCGCTTCGACTTCGAGCCACGGAAAGCACCGAAAGCTCCCGACACCGCCTTAGATTAAAAAAGTGGAACAAAAATAGACTTGATCTCGACAGAATTCACGATTCGAGGTTTTTTAAGGATGTTCCGACCTCTGCTAGAAGTAGAACTGCCTCCACCTCTCCAACCATTAATATCAGTTAAACTAAAACTTTGTTGGAAAAGCAAGGAAGAAGCGGTTAAGTTCATAGCTGTCAGGCGCAGGCTCACTAGGTGCAAGACTTGAGGTGTAGGAGAGAGCGTAGCGTACTAGGTACTGAGGAAGGACGCCTTGTGGAAATGCGGAAGGTTTTCTAGAGAAGTGGTAAAGAGGAACACGGGGAGTCATTCTAGATAAAGTGGCCGGAGGTGACAGTAGGTCATTATGGTTGACAGAGGATGAGAGTGAGATATGATTAGAATTGTGTAACTATTCCTAAAGACAGAAAACAACGCGTGGAGATCTCAGTCTCGGAAATGAAAACAACATAACTGTCCTCGCTAAGCAAAAAATTCTAAGGCATTTCTCCGGAATTCTTACCATAGCACAGTTGTTTGGATTAGACCAGAGCTAGGAATATGCAGAGATGCTCGGATGTGTTTTAGGCTACTGTTTCTCCTTGGATTATAATCGAAGGTCTATGATTTGATGTGTAAGAGGTTCAGTTTGGTACATGTGTGTTAATCTGTTACATCAATGAATGTTTAACAGTTACACACCTTTCACGGATCCGTAACTAGAATTTTAATACCAATTTTAATTCGTGATAAGATGAAGGGGTAGTTACTTAAAACCATCAATTTAATAATAGCTTCCCCTATACAATTTGTCACGTAAAAAGTCATGTAAGGATAAACAAAAGAGTCATGAAGAGAATGACAAGAACACAGCAATTAATGCGAAGATCTTGGCAAGAATTAATTACACTTAATTCCGGCTGGCAAATGCTTCTACTCTTGTATATAATAGTTCGGCGTGAGAGAGATCTACTCCTCACGCAACGTCTTCTTTACTTACCTGTTACGGGATTAACCCCTTGTTTTTGTACTGTCTGCGCCAATACGGCAGGGATGGAATATAAGGCCTAGCTAGCTACGGGGGCTACCAATGTTGCGGTCTGGATATGGTTGCTTAGCAACATAGATTTTTATGATCGGCGCTGATAATTACAATTCCCTATGTATACAGCGAGAAGTAGGAAATCTTACTTCTCGAGATTTCATTAATTAACTGATTTATTCTAGACTTGCTCTGCTGTATACAAACACCAATTGATCCGGCGACATTACCCTTTACAATACATTTGTTCACCTATCTCTTCTTCGGGAAGACCATATATCCATTGCCCAGTTCTTCGTCTGCAAGACTCACGTGTAACATCTACTGCAACTAGTTGCCCATTCATCTCTTCCTAGAGAAGACCTGTCATCCCTTTCACCCATTTATTATCTTCATTCACAACATAGATCTTCACTGGGCTATACAACGCACCCCGCGGAACACTGTCAAATCCTCATCCTTGAGAGAATCTTCTAAATTCCTTGTATTCCAAGATCTTTCCCGAAGATTCCATTGCTTTCATTGCTTACGCTAGCCAGCGTAGGCTACAGGAATCCTTAGGCTTACTAGCCGTTATAGAGTGTAGGTACTAGACCATTCGATCCAGCTGTATCGTTGATCTCCCTGACAGCCATTTGAAGTACCTCTACTTGGAGGCATCATCATCATTCTGTATGATCTCATAAAATCTTTTCAAGGGTGCATGGTATCGCTCAACTTTTCCCACACTATTGTGAGCTTCAATGAGAATCTCTTTAACTTTTATCGACATAATCTTTGCGTTCTGCTTGAATTCTGAAGACGCAAATTACGTTTCAGAACCGTGGACAATGATACCAGGAGGTCTAAGATATACATTAATCCAACAAATGCATAATGATTTCCAGACCAATTTTGTGGAAAAGTCCTTAAAGAATTGCGCTGCTTGAAAACCTGTTGCTGTATCGAAAACATACAATACTGTTTTACCACTAATATGCATGATATCAATAATAATTTCACAGTTGAAATCAATTTCATCTTTTATTGTGAACTTGAAACGACCGAGGGCTTTAACATTCATTTGGCAATGGTGACAAATCTGTGTTAAATGCTTAACAAGTTGATGTAGGAAATCTTTGTGCCCGACTTTTCTAAGAATTTCAATTAATCTTCGGGCTGACAAGTGTTCAAAGCGTCAGTGCAGGCAGTGTAATTGAGAATCAGTGAGGTGGCACCATGCTAGTGTCTTCGCATGTTGAAGACGTAAAAATATCCAGGGATGGCCCCATTTTCGCACTATAGGAACTATTTCTCCATTATCCTTAATCAAAACATTCTGTATATTATCTGATTTAACGTACAGGTTGTCAATGTTCTTGATACATAATGAAAAGGGGGTGTTAGTGGGGAGAATTTGAAACTCAATCATTCCTATGGTGGTATCAACTCGTGCAGTTCCAAGTGATACTGTCTCGCC